GGATACTGACAACCAGACAATTACAAAGAAAGGCACGTCTCAGTTTCCTACTATCGTCCTTCAAATTCATCTCGCAGTCAGTCCTATTCTAGCTTCATAATTGTACTTGTGTCTGTGTGTGTGGAAGGAGCAGGGGGTGGGTTCTTAAAAACATCATTGTAGTTTGAGACACTTCACATGTCTTGTTTTGGCTGCTTTTTCAACAAACTCATTTATTCTTCTACACAATACCATGAAAACTATTATTGTCTTGGTGGATATGGAGTGAGACGAAGCATCAAGTAACTAAGACTTACTGTTGAATGATCTGTGGCTCATATGATGCCTCTATCTCTGTCTTGTAACCGGACACAGCAGCGGTCAAGAGCAGGCGGGGCTTGCCAGATGCCTGAGCTTCTACACTAAAGTGCTGGAACAGAGCTTCACACAGCTGGGAAAACTGGCTTCTGAAGGAAGCGCCTGGAAACTCCCAATCCAAATCCAGGCCGTCAAAGCCATGAGTACGTAGAAAAGAGGCGGCGTTCCCAGCAAACGTCTCCATGTTGCTCATTGAGGCTGTGATGCTTTCAAATGGCCAGGTTCCCATGGAATAACCTCCCACTGCCAGGTGCACTTTCAGCTCGGGGTTCACAGACTTCAGAGCCATTACTTGTGCGTACAGATCTGTGGATGGCAACCCTAGATGAAACTCAGTATCATCACACCAGTGTATGCTGATGTGCATGTGTGTTTGTGTGTAAATATTTCTTGTGCATGTGTGTGTATGTGTGTGTATGTGTGTGTGTGTACGTGTGTATGTATTTGTGTGTGTGTGTGTGCGTGTGTGTGTGTGTATTTTGTGAAGGGGGGAACGCAAGAATTCATTAGAAAGAGAAAGACTGTGCACCTGTCAGTGTGTTGGTGTGTGTCTGACAATGTCCGTGTGTGTAATGTGTGTGTAATTTATATGTGGGTGTGTTTCTGTGCATGTGAATGTTCTTAGCGAAATGATCTTTTAGCTAATACGTAAGACACCTACCTGCATCATTCCACTCTACGGTTGTCAGGGTCAGACTGGCTGTGTCGATGTAGGCAAAAGCGTACACAATGTCCGTACAAAGGTAGGGGTCAATGTTAGCCACTGAGTATAGGCCTAAACCAGGTCTGTATTGGGCCCAGTTGGTAAAGTAGCAGGCGATCACGTGATGGCTTTCATTATGATGGACACCTGCGAGGAACACAAGATATTTTACACACTGTGCACGAAACATTGACATTTCCCCAACTTCAAGGCTCCCACTCTGTTACTGGCAAGATTGTACACACATTTATCATTATCTTTACTGATGCATTCTCTTTAGTACTCTCCAGGGAAATTTTTTTTCTTGTCGGTTTTAGGAAACACGTAGAGAGACAACCAACATAAGCTTTAGTAGATAGAAGATGACAATAGTCCGAATACTTTGATGAATCAGTACATGTGTGTCTATAAAGAAACTTCGGGCCGAGAAGCAACCGTGTGACACATTCCATCATGCACTTCTCTATGACTGAAAGCTAAATGACTTAAACTCATTAGAGCAGCCATTATAATTCCTGACTTTTCAGTATTTCTGCTGCCATGTTATGCTCATCTATGTATGTATTTGTGCATTTAAGTTAAGTGTGCATATGACTCTCAAAGACTTTCCAGGCCACCTCTCTAAAAACGGTAAAATACCATGAAAGAAACATAACGCTTTCACGGTGCCAGGCAGAGATCCTACTATAACCAAACCTACTATGAGAGTTTAGAGATGCTCTCAGAGTAGGAATTTACATCTGGCTGGCAGTTGGCTTCAGGATAGAGCTACACTGAAACTTGCCAGATAAGGTTCTCACACTTTGGACCTACCCGGGGTGGCCGTTGAGCTGTGCCCGCCACTCATGATGTCCGTGCTACTGGACGTAGAAGATGGCGACCATGTGGGTGATTGAGGAGATGGCAAGCTCACGTTAGCAGGGCTCAAGGTCAGCGGCTGACTTCCAGGACTCCACAGGCCCGCCTTCATAGCTTGGATCAGAGGGTAGGGACCTTCCCCACACACTTGGTCTGCAAAGTCGTCAAAGTCCACAGTCCAGAACATGGCACCGGCCAAACCTTCAGCTACGATGTACGCAGCCTGTGAACAGAGACGGGACGCCTGAGTGGACACCTGTACACACATCTTCTGTTTTCTTTTTCAGCTTCACTCACCATCTTTCTTGACAGTCTTGTTTCTACTTACCGTGGACCAATGGGAAGACGGCTCACAGTGTAGTCTGTTTATAGAACTCGCTGAAGCCATCACACAGCAACAACTGACTTCATGGGTGCGGATGTGTAATATGCCTGGGTGTGTAATATGTGTGTCATTGTGTGTATGTGACTGTGTGTGCGTGTATGTATGTATGTATGTATGTGTGTGTGTGTGTGTGTGTGTGTGTGTGTGTGTGTGTGAGTTTGTGTGTATGTGTGTGTGTGTATGTATGCATGTGTGTGTGTGAGTGTGCATGTACGTATGCATGTGTATGTGTGTGTGTGAGTGTATGCAGGCATATTTGTGTGTGTGTGTGTGTGTGTGTGTGTGTGTTTGTGTGTGTGTGTGTGTGTGTGTCTGTTTATGCCTGTGTTCTGTGTTGACTGTGAGGACTGTGTTTGTGTGTGAAAGTCGGTACGTACGTAACCTACTGCACGTATAGTTTTGAGTCAGGCGGAGCTTACCTTCTCAGTCATGCTCTGTACATCGTCGTAGGCAAGCCATTCCCAGTGCGAGTTGCGTTGACCGTAGGCAAAAGGTACTCTGGAATCGTCCATCCACACTCTGTTCAGGGTGCCGCTCATGATCATGTCACAAATCTGGGGAGACAATGAGCTTGAAGAATGTAAAATAGTGAGTTGTCCATGAGGGTATAGAGCTGATGGCCCTTGGAAGAAAAAACAAACAAATGAAGAATGCCAAGCAATGTGCTGAAAACGTGAATGGTA